GGGGGGGGAGCCGCCAACCTCGAACTTAAAACTTACACTCACTATTTTCTTCGAAAACATACGTGAGTTCCACAAAATAGTGAGTGTAAGTTTTCAGTTCGAGGCTTGGCGGCTCCCCACACACCATTACAGACACATAGCAACGGGAAAGAGAACATTACAGACATACCCCCCATTATAGACAGCCCCCCCATTACAGGCAGCCCTCCATTACAGACACCCCACCATTACAGACCATAGCAACATAGGCTACCATTACAGACAACTTCCATTACAGACCTTGGCAACTTCGTGAAAAAAAAATTCTATTCGAAATTGAGAGATAAAAATATAGCATTTTCTAATAATCGATTATCTTTAGAAAAGAACTATTATCTTTTGAAGATTTTAAATATTGGGTATTTTGTCATTAGTATAATGAAACCAACGGAGATATGTGAGTTCCACATTTCAGCCTCAAAGGGGCTGCGCTAACAAGCTTTTGCATTTGAAAATAAATATATTAAAGTCGGACAGAATGTTAATACTGAAGTATTAAGATTATGATAAATTAATAAAAATATATTTACTTCTATTAAAGATTACAAGAAGGCTTTCTATTTATTATATTCTCAATTAGTTGAAAGGACATATAATATAACATATGAGACGTGATCTGTTTCTCTGTCATATTTCAAAGACTTTGAGATTATCAATGACAAAACAAGTCATTTTTATTTTCTCAGTGTAGAAATCTTTTAGAAATCTTTTCTATATATTTTTAATTACTAAGAAATTAGGACTAATTGAATTTGACTACAATAATTTTTAATGCATACAAATATGAACAAAAAAAAAGAATTTCAAAAGATATAGCTAACATCAGAACGTTTACATCTATCCAGAAGATATTGGAATTGTATGTAGAATGAAAAATTATGTCACTAGAAATAACATTATGTTTTCTTGTGTTTATCTTAGATATTCATATGAGAAATATCATAGTGAACATCGCTAATCTTAGTACACATAATACTGGACGAAAATTCCTGCGTTACTTGATTTCAACTATTTTATGTCATAGAGATCCAAACATGTACGTGCATATAATTTACTAATAATCTAGATTAGAAATGTAACCTTCGTCTGAGGAGACCGTTTATCTGCTTAAGAATTAAAACTTTCTAGTCTTCTTATTCTATTTCATCTAATGAATCATATATTTTCCGTCGATGATTTGCTTTTGTGCTTAGAGAATGGTTTCTCTCTTTGGAGTTTCGTCAATTACTTTAGTTACAGTCTTCTTTGTTCTCTCGAGGATTTCATTTTCTAGTTTTAAAATTTTGTTTTGGTTTCACCGCTAATAGAGTTCTGAAGTCAACTCTTTCTTATTGAGAAGTTTCTGTTAATTGCAGTTCGATTGACAACGTTGTTGGACTTGAAGAAACACAGATAAGATGCATCGCAAAAAAACGTTGACGAATGTTTATTAGTGGATGTGAGTGTCTTATTTGCAGTACTTGATAATTAATAAGTTAAGAGAAGTCAATGAAAGTTAGTCATCGACTTTCTCAATAAAGACACATTTCTTTTTTTGAATTATTGAAGAGAATCTTATTGATATTTTGTCCGACATTGTTAGCTCGTCAAGCTTTATTAGTAATGCTGCTACTTATTCAAACATTTCGATTCATTAGAAAATGAAAGCAAGGCAAAACTGACATGTATATACACAATCGTCATTTCTTGTTGGTTACTTTTGCTCAAAAATTAGACGTGATTCAATTATTGAAATGCAATGAATAGAAAGCTAACAGATAATAGAATTGATTCTCCTGATTTAAAATCCGTAAATAGTGTCTCTACCTTTTCAACTTTCAGCAGATCGGTTTAGATGAAATGTTGTGTAAAACAAGTACATCGAAGAAAAGAAGAGATTAAACCTCAATCGCATCAATTTTCAGATTTTTTTTTCTTTCAATGCGTAATACTTTATCAAAATTTATTCAATTAAGAAAAACTTTCGAAAACTGAAAGTAAAATCAATCACAAAAAAAGAATCATGCGAATAGACGATGATATAAGTGTTTTTAGTTAGATAGTAACATGAATCATTCTCACAGTGAACTTGAACGATCTTGTAGTGGCTCTTCTTCTCATGCATCGATTCACTCTTTACAGCCGTCAAACATCAAAGAACTCAGTAGATGATGAATTCTTCTATAGTTCATGAGATTTCTCTATATTTCGCATATTGAAATAGGTTTTTTTGTATCTGAATCTGTTTATGCCTATGGAATTTTTAGAGAAAAAAGAGCAATGGATGCTTCAAGTTTTTTCCATATTTTACGTCAAACTGATTACTATCGGTTCATGTCAATAGTATGTGTAAAGCTTTGAAAACTGATATAATTCATCGCGTTTTAATCATTCTATGGAGTAGAAATTATGCCTAAATAATTCCTTTTCAATGATGCTTCATTTTGTGTAAAAGTTATTTTTTAAATTATTTCAAATGATAACGCCACTCCTCTAAAGAAACAATTCTCCTTGCCCAAAAAAAGACAAAACCTGACCTTAATAGTTAGTTCTATTCGTGCATGAGTGGTTGGAAGTGAGTTTAGGATGATGATGCACGAGTGTATAAGTCAGAATGAAGAGAATATCTGTACAAATCGCCAGATCTACATACTCAGTATTGGGTCAAATCGCCACAAATTCAAATTCTCTATCAACTTAATTTTTTTCAGTGTAAAAGCTCTTGATCGCTTCTACTTTTTTAAAGAAAACTTAGTTCTGAACTCTGTATTATCGTAAACAGTAAACACATGATCGCTTAGAGTTTATCTACCATAAAGTTTAAGCAGTGTGCTTTTGAGAGAAGGTCGAGCACGGCCTACTGATAAAACTCGTCTCATCAGGGTGGTAAAGTATTCTAATAGATAGAACATATCAAATTCTATGGAACGATGTATAATACAGATGATTTTCACATAGAGTCGATTTTGCCAGCAAACGGTCCTCTCCTCTCTTCCTTGTCCTTTGAAAAATATCGCCATTTTTTTGCATATTTTGCAATGAATCAAATCAACAAAACAAACTTTCAGTAAAAATTTATGAAAGATTAAAATGTGGAACGTGATAGATTCATTGTACTTGTTAACGAGAGCTCCACCCACTTCTATCGTATGACAAATGAAGTAAAGTGGCTTAAGATAACAAAATGTCTGTCAAAGTCGGTGAGACAGACTGCGAGAGAATGTCTCACTTTTCTCGCTTCTATATTTCAGCATTCACTTTTAATCGTACTTCACAAAAGTAGAGCGTCGATCCATGTCTTGTATAAGATAAAAGTTAAGTGTTTCTTCTTGAACGGATCTTATATTGACAACTGTGCAAAGAGTTCCACGACTAAAATGATTTGACTAGGCAAACATTGTGTGATTTGTTTTTACAATTTTCTTTTTGTTTTTCTATTAGTTTTAGGTAAGCAAAGAAGCATGGCATGTCCGTAATTGAAAGTGACAGTTTTTTTCTCGCTTAACCTTCCTAGTTTTACATGTCGCTTTCGTCAATTGTCATGTGCTTCATTTGTTGAAAAGACATGACGTATAGAGAAAAGAAACAAGCAACGTGTAAATAGAAAAAAAACGAAGCAAAAAAAGAAGTTTTCTCAGAGAATGGAATTGGGGTATCTGAATCATTAATTAAATGAAGCTCTACCAAGCTACGACATTTTGTTTATTTCATCCATTCAAGAGTACCCTACATATGTCTATCATATGATCATTGAGAGAAATCTAAAAAATAGATATCCTTTGGCATGATCTTTTTTGTTGCAGAACTTGATCTACTTTCGTCTTCTGTCATGATCTGTTGCGGGGATAAATTCTCTATCTTCTATAGTATAAGCATCATCATTCATTTTCATTCGTGTTTGCTAAAAGATGTCTACTAAAGTGCAAGTCGAAACTTTGGACTATGAAAATCGTACGTCGATACAACTTCCTCAACTCTTTTGGAAATTCCGAAGACTGAGCTTCAAATGTTTCAAATTACATAGTCGAGTAGGTCGAAATTCCAAGGTACTTTTCTTTTCTTGTTATATACATCAAACTTTGTTTACAAATGTATATCATAAAAGTTGGAAAATTCACTGTTATCTGACCTTAATATTTTTCATCGATTCATAATAGCACGTCCAGATATCGTTATACAAAACATCGTGATAACGTAATTGTCACAGTCTACAGAGAAAGCAAGGAGTGCAGTGCACTGATATCCTTTATCTCGTTGCACAATTGAATACTCATTAAGAATCATATTTCACATATGAACATACTCACCAAAAATAAAATAAAAACGAAGAAAAGCTTACTTACTATAGTGCTACACCAGATGG